ATGCTTGGCACAAGTTGTGCGGATTTTATTATTTTGCGAATTTCAAGGTAAAAAAAGATATTTAGACTAAAAGTACAAAGTAACTAAGGACATATACAAACATTAATATGAGAATAAGAGACATTAATAAAGCAATTTTTTTTCTGATAGAGGTTTACTTTAAATCTTTAAGGTGCTCTAGAGTAGTTTTTTTTTCTTTTGTAAATCACATAGAGTCATAATCGTTTGCTCTGTGACACAGCTCCGTTATTCTCAAACGATATTTTTCACCATGTTCCATAGCTTTACTAAAAGCTATTTTTCACTCCTTTCAAATTCACTATCTGTGTCAGTGTCTACTTCAAATCAGAGACAATAATTTCATGATCGGTCACCTGATATGCCAGTGTTGGCTCACCTGGCTACATGATCCATTCAACGATATCTTCTTCTTGCAAAGGCTCCTCATTTGTTCTCTCTCTGGAATAGAGAAGGAATTCTCTTGCTTTTACCCTTTCTGCATTGACCCTAAAACCAGAAAATTCATTTCCATCGCTCTCAGTTTCAATAAACAGAGGGCCACACATTTCGCTAGCCATTTACTAATGATATTTGGAAAACAGAATTCCATCATCAGTTTCAATAAACAGGGGCCACACGTTAGGCCAGCCATTTACTAATGTTATTTGGAAAACAGAGTTCCATAATTCTGCTAACAGACTGATGCAGTATTGTAGGGTTTTTCTTAATTTCCATAAAATTCATTTTAAGTTTTCCTGTTCTCAACTTCTCAAACTTCCCCTCACATACTCTCGCCAGGATGTAAATTTAAGTTAAGTGAAGTGCTATTCAAACGTGTGATTATGTCAGTTTATTCAGAGCGTGTTTCGCTAGCCTAGCGCACGTTTCGTTGTTATTTCGCGGTCACGCTAGTAAGCCTCTTGGCCATATCAGATTAGTATCACGCCGGTTAGACTTCTGTGAGTCCATCTCTTAGTAATTTTGAAGTGCGTTTTTGCACTCGTTTCTTTTTTTTTAGATTTTGAATTGTATTCTAGTCTACATTTAGTTATCAGCGCAAGTAGACGGTGTTTTTGTAAAGCACGAAGTCCGTGCTTTCTGTTAATTTAGTTTGAGTTAATAAAGGGTTATTTTGCACCCTTCTTCTGTGCTGGTATTTAATTCACGCCTGTGTGAGAATTCGCCAGGTTCATTGTAGGATCTAAGTTAATATATGTGGACAAGTAGAGATAGATCTTACAGTTTTAGAAGAATTTTTTAATCATAAAGTGAAAATGAATGATCTCTAAAAAGATGAATTTTTTCAGAAACTCCGATTTGTTGCGGCATTTAACACTGCGTAATATGCCGTAGTTCATAGGTTGTAGTATTTGGGAAGGGCCAAAACATGTTTGCATCTGGATGTGCAGAGCCGTTGTCTAACAATAGTAAAATTACGTACCCCCATACTTGTTACTCTTACAATGACAATGATTTGGTAAGTATTTCCCTTATGACGTCATCATTTAGTATTTCATTCTCCATATTGCTGTTTCCTGAACCTATAAACTGAATGTTTTACATTTGAAGAGACTGAGCGGATTTTAGGTCCGCGGATTTTTGGTACTTGACTGTACTTAGGGGACCACTTGTGATTAGCTATATATAATTCTACCTTTTCATGCTTCTGATTTCGGTTTTTGAGTCTTTTTAACCAATGTCTTTTCGAATGTATAGAACTCTAGATTCTTAAACGCCATATTTTGTCAACGTTCGAAAGGTTAAAAAAATGTTTAAAGCATCTTTATTTTATGAATAGTAATCTCTTAAACCGATGTTTAGTTTTAGCGTATTTAGAGTCTTGCCCTGACTAAATACCCTGGGTATGATGCCCTGAGTATGATGAACTTCTAATTTTTTGCTTTTTCAAGTTCGCACACTGCCTCTTTGGGTTTTTTTTTTTTTTTTTTTTTTTTTTTTTTTTTTTTTTTTTTTTTTTTTTTTTCGTTTGACCACAGCTGTGGAAAGGACTTCTATAATTATTTAGATATCCTTTATGGCTATTTATTTGTTAACACATTTTTATGCATGTTCAACACTTATATCCGGAAATATCTATACTTTGTTTCTGTTCAATGCTTATATCATCGAGTATCAATACAACGGTACTTTACTCTCATACAACGCGTCTACATTCTACCATTTCTGTACATTAAAGCCGGTATTATTTGCCTGCTCATAAATAAACAGTATATGCAGCAATGCGAACCATGTCTAATTGTTCATGTCAACCATGAGCAATTGCTGGACCTAATTTAAAATCTCTTCCACGCATGGACATTTACGATAGTATTATCTACAATAAATACGAGCACCTAAAATCTGTTGATTCGTCAAAAGGAGGAGTATAAGATATTCCACTGCGTTCCTGTTAATAGAAATTGAGAGAGTGCTTATCCTAAATTATGCAATCCTGGCTCTCGTCACAAATGTTCGCTCAGAGCTTTCTACAAATTTTAGTTACTCGTACCTCAAACTAAGTAAGAAGATTTCATAATTACAGCTTATGCTGTTGTTGAATCACACGTGATTGATAAATCTTGGCTGAAAGGCTCATTGTTGAAATGAGAATGTTCCTGATTGTTTATTGGAAATGTTCTTAGCTTATTTAATTAGCTACTTTGAGTTTTTGTCGTAAATAACTTGAAAGCAGTGTCACTTTTAGTTATTTAATATTTAGTTGCTTGATAAATTTCTATTTCTGGGGTAGGTGATAAGTGATTGCGACAATTCACGTAGGTCACAAGTAGCTGTTAGGTTCATTTCACAAAACTTAAATGCGGAGAGTATTTCAATAAGGATTAAATGCAGAAATTTAATGATTTGGTTATCATATAATTTTCTACATAAATAGGAGAAAATTTATCTCGTCCATAGAAACCTGGATTTGGAGAAGTCTCGAATAAAGACTAATGTTACAGATGTTTACTGAGCAGAGGGTTATTCAAAAGATTTTTTTCCCTTGAAAGTAAATCATAAACGTCATATTCAACAAGGAAACCACAAATTACCTTCTGAAAAGGATTCAGCACTTAAAGGGATAACGGTAACTCACTTTTGTTGTATAATAATCCCTCTTCTCACAAATCAACAGTCGCCAACCAGTTCGTTTTGCAACGAGAATTAGAAAGGCAGAAAATGTGAATAAAGGAGAAGTGGAATTGCTTTTAATCATCCTCTTTATTCCCTACATTTGGCATTCTGAGAACTACATCTGTTTCAAAAAGGGAAACCTTACCTTACATGACACATTTTTCGAGAAAATTTCAATCGTTTTTTAAAAATTCTAGGTAACACGGTTACAAAAGTATACGTTCATACTTATGAAACGTATATACGTTTATAAGGTATTTTAAGTTAGTTAATCGGCTATTATTATTTGAAACCTTTACTATCGGTTCAACTTTCCGTAGCCCACACGAAGACGTAAATTAGGTGGTAGAGTATCTTAATACAGGGTAGAGCTTTTAGCCGCGTAGCCTATAGTTTTATATTTCTATCGCTTAGCTCCGGCTTAAGCCATTTCGCTAGCCGATAATAAAAACGCGCCATTTAAAATATTGAGCCAGCTTAACTAAAGCAATTCTGTAGTCTCCGACGAAGTTACCTTGAATTTTAATATATGTTATTATAAATACCTGCAATGGGCGGCGTTTACTTCTACGGACAAGTTGGGCTCTTTTAAGATTTAATGAACAGTTTATTTAAAATCTTCTTAAGGCCTTTGTTATAATACTTTCAGATAAAATGATAACTTGTTTGCCAGTCTAACAGGATTTGAAGAAATTTGATTCAATTTCTACACAATTAGGGGGCCTATACATTTACCTACGTACAAATGTTTTTGGGTTATACATTCACTCTGAAAATGGGCTTACATTGCCAGGAATATGAACATAAAATGTGGGAACGTAAATTTTCAAGAATGTAAACGTAATTCTTAGGAATATGGGAATATAGTTTTAGGCACATATGCTTATAAAAGTTTATATACCCAAAATTATGCATATAGTTTTGAAACTATGCTTGCTGGGATGTAACGGAGGAAACGGAAGAATATTCCATGAACTTTCTTTAAAGATATTTAGGTGCTATATGAGCTTCCTAAGAGACATATGCAATTAAAAGAAGAGTTAAGAGAGTGATAAAGTTGCTTTAAATTCATTTTGTATGAATTGATGCACATAGTAGGCGATGCTTAATGTGATCACATTTGTCCAGGATTATTTTGATAACATTAACCAAATGACAACATTAAACGATAAGAAAATTGCCCTTCAAAATATCAACAGAATTTAACTAATTTAAAATAAATAATACTCGTAGGACATGCCTAATCTCAGTAATTAATTTCATCATTTTCGTCTTCAAAAATTTTATCGCATGTTCTTCTTGGATTTATTTCAGTAAAAGACTGGCAGATATCTTCTGTCACTAATGCTTCAACTTAAAAGTTTTTTCAAATATTTTTGTGCGTCACAGCAAAATCGTCGAAAATTTAGCTTCAATAATTGCTAATACAATCGATCATCCTAAAATTTAGAAAATGAGATCCTTTCCACACGGTAATCTCAAATCAAAACCAAACTGCTTAACGTATATCTCTGTCATATGGCAGTTTCTGTATCGTTTTTCGACCCCATTTCGGGATTTTATCTTTCAAATGGCGATTTCATTCCAGCTTAAAAACTCCATTCTGCAATATTTTCATAACATTAACGAATTGCTGATCACAATAAGCGATGTATTTTCCTTCTTTACAAATTGGCGGCACTTCGCCAATTCGACAAAAATATCAGAATGATAACATCAATCGTAATCATATTAAGAAGCGCCTATTCTGACACGTTCTGGAACACGTTCCGGACACATAAGGTGAAATAAAATTTGGTAAAAAAAAAAAAAAAAAAAAAGAAAAAAAGAAAAAAAAAAAAGAAGAAAGAAAAGAAAAGACACCAAAATACATAAAATGTACACTTTTTTTATTTTGGAACAAACTGCAATGTAGCAAAAATATATACAGCTGCTCTCCTCGGAAAATATTCTCCATCCATGGTAAAAGTTTAGCTTTCTCAGAATAAATCTAAATTACTTAAATAGTTATTGCACTTAATATGATCTTAATACTCCAAAAATCTATTTATTTCTACTCTTTTCAAACTTCCTAATATTAAACACCAAAGAAGTAAAATGCTTCTAATCACAGGGAAACATGGCTAAGTAGTTGAAGATATTTAAATAAAGTATATTTGAGAGAAAAGATTATAACTGAAAAATACTTATATACCACAAATTGCTTTTAATGAACTCAGTAAAGCTGAAAATTTATAAAACAGGATAAATAACACTGGCAGTGAAGACAATTAAAAAAGGATTCAAAAAGATGAAATTCCGCCTTATTAGCGAGAAAAATTACTTCTTCACGTTCGCCTTGCGCGAATAGATTTTTCGGCCATGATTGCTGCAGCCACGGCATTTTATCAAAGTAGCCTTCTCTTAGAAGTTTCGTAGAATAATTTCTGCGATAATGATTTACCTTTCTTACCATTTTCTTTAACTGATTGATCAGCGCATTATACTCGAAGGTCGACGAAAATCATCGATGTTCTCATCCACTTTGTCTGGTGTCGAAATAAATGTGGGTTTGTCGTCGCTGTAGTGAACGCCTCCGGAAGGAGCTAGAGCTGGATTTTCATATATGCCTTTCCATGCTCTTCTTTCTTCTTCATGAGTGTAATAATGAGCGATGTGGCGGCGGTAGATGATGATGATGACCAGTATGATACATGCTATGACCACTATAATAGACACGGCTACAATTAGCCCCACCTGAGACGTGTAAACCAGATAATGACGATCATAGACACCACTGTGGCAAAATAGTTCTTTAGGAGAGATAGTGTGTATAAATTGTCCCATTCTGTCTTGAGGATATAGACAGCGTAAGCAAGTATCTTCGGAACAATTATGCATCATCAATTCAGATTCATTCATCCACTGAAGAAGATGTTCAATCAAGCAACTAGAGCAATCAAAGGGATTGCCATACAATAAAAGTGTTTTGATGGAAGTTATGTTTGTGAGGCCTTCAAGAAAGTCTCTGGATACAGTTGCTAACAAATTGTAGGTCAGATCCAATTCTTCGAGGTTTTCCAGTGGTATCAGGAATTCTGAAGATAGTTCTGAAAGACTGTTTCTAGACAAATTGAGGGATTTCATATTCACGTTGTGAGAGAAAATGCCTGGGGTTAAATTGGTTATTAAGATATTTGATGCTTGAAGTGACAACAGGTTTTTGAGTGGCGTCACTATTGAAGAAAAGGCTTGATTGCCAACATCATTAAAACTGATATTTAGAAATTCTAGAGATTCGGATAGTGGTTCAAAAGTTTCCTTTAGAACATATTCTAATCTATTGTGGGATATATCTAATTCCCTCACGGAAGTATTGGTAAATGAATAGTCAGAAAGAGAAGATAAATTATTTCTTGAGATACTCAACAGACGCATCTTGTGCCCATGGAAGGTACCCTCCGGTATTCCCGAAAGCAGGTTACCATCAAGATTAAGAATGGTTAAACGTGATAGGTGTCGGAATTCTGCTGGTGCAAGTGAAGCAATAAGGTTATCTCTCAGATCTAAGTGTTCCAGATGGGGAAGTTGCTGGTATATGATAGGATGCAGGTGCGTTAGTCTGCAGCTTGCCAATTTTAACACTTTCAATTCTTTCACGTCCTGTAAGATCTCTGGTTCAATTTGTTCCAATGCATTACCACTCAGGTCTAGTTCTTCCAAATAGGTCAAGAGATAAAAGAATCTGAAATGAATAAAAATAAGTAAAGTTTTTCGCAAAAAAGAAATGTACTTTTAAAAGACTCACAGATATGTAACTAATGTCACTCATTTGAATAAAATATATTTAAAAAAACGAAATGCAATATTTTATGCAACTGAAACATAAGGACCTCATGGTAATATGACAAAAACGTAAAAGTATGGCTTTTACAGTACGTCAAAAGTATTTATATGTGACAAAATAGTTATACACAGAATACAATAAACCTCCTCCAGTCTTTCTCAATATCTATGTTATCCGGGAAAATGACAGAAACCACCAACCAAACTACTTATGGTACTGCCAAAAGTACACTGAGCAGAAGCTCTCTTTTTAAAACAAATGATTCTTCCAAAAGATTCCTTAATTTCTGCAAACTGTTTACAAGAACAGTAGTGCGAGATTAGACATTGTCCGATAATGGAAAAAATTTTGCAGAAATTATGCTCCCCTCTTTCTGCAGAGCAAGAAGAAAGGATTCTTCAAATTTAATGATGTCAAAACTCATTGACAGCATGATATTGAATTATTACATCCTGAGCATCATTCGCCACTTCAGTGTCCATTTGAGATCCCTTGAATTTTCGTGTAGTTTGTTACCTTAAAACTGGAACTTCAAGATTATTTTCTGCCTCCCTGTTTGACTTTTGAACAACAGCATGGGAACAACAGACCAGGAAAAATGGTTTAGACACACATTCTCTCCCCTCTTCTTTTCCTTAACTGTGTTTCGCTTCGTGAAAAGAGTGCGAATGAGTGTGATTTGAGTTACAGCACCAAATGATGTGGAAAAAATAAATGATGTGTGGTGATGACAAGCAACCGATATTATCATTAACTTTGAAAAGCTATGTTTTCGACCAGAAAACACGAAAAATCAACTACGCTATCAATCAGAATTCGAGACACAAATCTTCCAGACGCTAGCTGGATGTACTAAGTATTTAATCCTTAGGAAAGCACCAGAACTTAATTTCTAAAATGTAAGGTTCTGGAGCTCTATGGAAAGCCGACAGGAAATATGAAAATATATAATTAAGTAAAATAACTAATAATTCAAATAATAAAATAATTTAAAATAGCAAAACAATTTAAAGTTAGTGAATAGTTAGGACAGTAAAGCTAAATACCGGACATCTTGTTCCGAACTCCGGATAAAATGTACTTTCATTCACAAAACTGAGATATAGCGGCTCTGGACTGCCAGCTCATCGTTTTCCCAGCATACTTAGTGAAAAAGTTAAAACGATTTAAGTGCAACTAACTATAATACAGGGAATGCTGAAGAGAGTATAACAGTATGGGAGAAAATTTTAATACAGAGGTGTAGGTTCGAAAAGAAAGTTCGAAAGAAAGACCCAAGACACTTTCTGATCATGATTCGATGTAACTGGATATAGTAATTTTAGCCCACATTATTTTCACTGTCAAGCAGAATGTGATAGGAAAAAAAAACTCCCTAAATCCGAGGAATAATATGAAAACTGAGATTTTTCTCAGTTTAAGTTAGTTAAGTTATCTACAAATGACTACCTCCCATACTTGCTAACATAGTTCCGAGAAGTTTGTAACTACTCTTTTTCAATGAAAGCCACTAGCGTTAGACATGTCTGAGATGTTTATCTTAGCGGCGTCACTTTTGCATAATGAAACTCGGCATCGTCAAAAACAAACGAGCGCCAAGCAATATATACTGGGGAGCGTGGATTCTACCTATGTTTTCATGCAGAAGTCTTAAAAAAGGAATTTGTACCTGCACTGTACTTCATTCTTTTTCAGCATGTTACGTTCGTTTTTGGAATATAGTCTTAATAATACTGCCTGATAGGTAAGCCTGAAGATACTTAAAACTTATAAATGAATTTCTTGTAAGTTATATGTTTGTGAAGACTGTTAATTTTGATTTGTGTTCTATCTCAGCTATGCAAACTACTAAACTTGCCAGGACTGCTACTTACTCCTAACTTGTTAAATAAAGATTTCATAATTATTGTTAACTCGTGATTCTTTAATAAAACTATGCTAAAATGAGGATAGTGTACTTAAATGCCAAATGCATGACATATCAATTTCACAATGTTAATAGGCTTGTAACTTGGAATATTAACAATAGTTGACCTTCTCTCCAGTAATTACGCCCCCCCCCTTTTTTTTTTTTTTTTTTTTTTTTTTTTTTTTTGATAAATTGGGAGTAATTGTAACCGTCGATAGCCAGGACCGTATTTAGATTTGACGAGGTCCTAAACCATTTGAGATATGGGGCACTTTATAAGGGATATGAATAAATTTTTTAGATATGGGGTAAGCTAAAATTTTTTCGGGGGGGGTTCAAGAAAGTAGGGGCCTTAAGTTATAGCTTGTTCAGCTTATACGTAAATCCGGCACTGCCGATACCCAATCAGCTGATATGATATGCTAGCATAAGTAGGGGAGTCATGTCTAGTACATTCAGAAATTAAAACAAACTCTCATAAATTTACTGCATTTATCAGAGCATAAGATTTTTGACATGTGGATAGGAAAGATTTTCTGAACTTAAGAGTTACAACCTCCATCCAAAGGTTTGTTTCCCAAGGAAAGACAAGTATGCATTCAAAAATTAGAATCGATATTTATGATTCCCTTACTTCTAGTTTTTATGACTTAGAATTTTATGACCTCAAAAGAATTTTCTTCTGAAATTGTGCTTTAATTTCATACAAGAAGCCTTATTTAGCATCAGAACCCTTCTTACTTAGGCCTTAGGCTAGAATTAGGATGCATCTTAAAAACTGAGAAGCACATAAGGACTACGGCAGAGTTGCCAGAAATTTTTTCAACCAAATTAACATCAAAAGAAAAGAGAAGACCGGACTTGTGATTATGCCACGTGAATTTTATGGCATAATAACAAATCCGGTCTACGTGTTCCGGAGTTACGGAGTGTGATTCGATTCTTGGTCGTTTTGGTTACGTAAGTTGGTTTAAATGCACATTACTAATTATTCATTGTTTAAATCTCCTTTTCTTCTTTTAATTTATTCTCAGGTAACTTAGGTTATTATTGTCAGTTATTTGATTCTTATCCGTTGTAACATGCTTCCTCACTTTAGACTGAATTCTTTTGAACTGGTAGTTTGTGTTTTTTACGTGCCCTCAGTTCACATTGACATAACTCACAATTAGATTTTGTTTCATCTATTTCCATTCTTTCTGACCAGGTTTCAAACAATGGCATTTTAAGTCACGTATTTCAAGAAACGGTGCTGAATTTTTTATATTATTCATAATTTATACTGTAAGGATCCTAAGTTTTACTAACGTTTATTTTATTTTAAATCTTTACTATCACTTCTTATTTTCTACTTCCGGCCAGAATTAAAAGCTTTAACTTATTTATGCAAATTTGTCTTGCGAACGCCAAGTACTTAAGTTGTGGCTTTTTGCCAAGCAAAAGAGAGGAAGGAGCTATTAGAAGCAGGCCGCTTGCCATAGTAGTTTTACTCAGTTGCTGGTTGCCTTCAAGGCCAGAGGTTTAATCCTCTTGATAATTTTAAACGTATCGTAGTGTTAGCAGTTCTCTGTACTACATACGGCTTTTTGTTAATATACGACCAATCTTGGAGTTAGGCACTTGTTTGATTAATCCAAAGTTAGTTTAGTTAGAGTTTAGTTAATATTTTTATATTCTTACGTTCAGACCACAAGTGGTTGGTCTCTGTATTCCGAAGTCCGGAAATCATTGTAAAGAGAGAAAAATAAAGGGTTTCGATACCCTTCCTGTGTGTATTGTCTACTTCCCAAATTTATTGAACATAGCTTTAGTAAGCTCCCTGTTCCGAGTCAGGATAGTAAATGTTTCCAAAGCAAGTAAGGAGGAACACTGAACCTGATAATACTTTAACTAGCACTGTAGCTATAACCTAAACTTTGGAATGCTTTATTTTATGCTTAGTTTATATATTTAGTTTATTAAGACATTAAACAAATAAATCAATTGAACATGTAAAAACCCACACAAATGACTAGTATTGAAAACTCGGTGTACATGGCCTCAAGAGCTTTAACCGAACGACTGCAAGTTGGCAACTTTAATTTACGCTAAAGGAAACTGTTACTTTTTGTTACAAATTTACTTTAATAGATGCATTATATTAACATGTGCGCATCTTATGATATATCATAAAATTTAAGGTAGCAAAAAATAGCACAAGGAAATGATACAATACAGGAAATTCGCCAAATCACATGAACATAAATTTTAGTAGCACGTGTTTGTCAAGACTAGCAAATTTGCAAAAACCGCACGAGTTGACAACAACGGGACAGCCGTTAATTAAGCACGGGAAAGCACAGAAAGGGGGGATTCGTAATTTCTTAAAAACCTCAATTTACTTATTTTTGGAGGAAAAAATGAGAAGATGGCGGATAAGAAAAGTCTAGCCCTCATAACGTTAATTTAAATAAAATTCACGGGGTGGCTAACAGATTGGGAACTTAATCGATTACTTGAGAATGGACGACCATGAAAAATCTATGCCATTTTGTTCATTTAAAAATTAGTTTATTTTTTTTACACTTATTTTTTCCTCTATTTCAACTTCAACTCGAGGGAAATAGCAGGAATTTTCGTGCCAGACCGTACCCATATCCGCAGCAGGTCTCCAAGGTGAACAGCCTCTAGTCGTCGATAGAACAATGTAGTACGGGATGTCGGCAAGTTCGATCGATCCGTAACTTCGGGACAAGGATTGGCTCTGAGGACTGGGCCCGTCGGGCTGGGGTCCGAAGCGGGTGTGGCACTGCACCGGGACTGGGCGAGACTGGCCGTGAAAGCGGTCCGGTCCGGCCCGGACCAGCGTCGGGGCCTTCCCGTGGAATGCCTCAGCTGCGCGGTGCACCGGTCACAAAGCACGGAGCGACAGTTTCGGCGGGCAACTAAGAGCCGACTCAGAACTGCCGACTAGAATCCGACTGTCAATAATAACGTGTCTCTTCTAATT